CTCACAAAAGTCCATGCTAATACTTCTAGAAAGGAAGCACAAGATGGCCCAAGCACTTGACACCTTGCCGCTTGTGTGGGAGACCAGGATGGAATTACCAGCTCAAGGCTTTGCCTGGCACTGTCCAAGTGACCATCGCAGGCATTTGGGGGGTGAAATAGCATGTGAAGATCTCTCTCTGTCTCAACCTCTCTCTATATTTGTGCCTTTTATATAAATAGAGATGTTTTAAAAACCCCAACTTTTATAAAATAAAACCCCATTTTCTATAAAAATAAAGATGTTTTAAAAACCCCAACATGGTTTATAACAAAAACTTTTAGAAGATAATGGCCACTAGCATTTTTTAGTTCATTTTGGAATTGTGGTTGAGTATGTGTGATTAATTTAAGTAAAATCCAGAATATATGATAAACAGTATTTATCTCCTAGGTTGTCACTAAGCATAATATCAGGATATCAGGAGGGGCTCCAGCTGCATACGCCAGATATCTGGGTTCAGCATTCATCACGCACAAGAAAAGACACTAGAAAACTTCAAAATGAAATTAAAGTGGTTTTCGTTTGTAAACTTGACTCAAAATTTACTGAAATTTTAGTATAATAATAATTACTTGATTGTAAAATGTAAATAAACACCTTTCCAGAAAGCAAATATTTATCAATAATTTAAGAATTGAACTTTTAATATTGAGTAACATTAGAAATTACTACTAAGAATATATTAAAAAGAAATATAATCAAATAAAAAAGAAGTATAATTACAGGAAATAGTTTTCAAAAGAGTGTTACTCAAAGATATATGTATACATCCTACCGATAGAATATTTAGATGAATTACAAGACACCAAAGTGACATAGAACTATTCAGTTACAAACGCTATGCTTTTCAGAATCAATTAATTTTAACAGAACAAGCTTAATTATAATACACACCCAACACAGACACAAACACACCTCTATATGTATATAACAACATCAGTCAGTTATGTACATCTTAATATGTAAACAGAAGATAAACAATTCATACATTTAGTTTAAAATGGTCATCATGGTATTTGGTGTTTATAATCACTTTTTTATGTTTTATAGCTTTTATTAATGTTACATTTGGAAACTATTATTTTGTTTTTAACTTTCTATTGTTTGAGAAACAAAGAGAGAGAGACAGAATACATAGTCAAAGAGAGACAAAGAACTGCATTTAACTGATTCACTCCATACAAACCTGTATTCATATTTGCTTTGGTTGGGCTAGGATCAGGGTCAAGGTTAGGAATGCAATCCAGGTCTCAAATATGGGTGTCAGAATCCCAGTTACTACAGCTATGGCAGGACAACCCCCCAGATGGCATTGATAGTTACATATTTTGGTACAGGACATAGTCATCTTAGTGGATAGTTACTTACATGGTCTCAAGAACAATAGTAAATAAAAATTGTGCTTCATATTTGAGTCACTATTCTCAGGAAAAATAAATATGTTAAGTACAAAGATTATGATTTATAGAAGTATTATCACTACCTTTCAATGCTGAATTTTTTTCAGTTTCCTCTAATATATAGATGTGACATATTGATTTAGATAAATCATCTCTCTTATGCCAATTAGCTAAAGAAAAAAGACAAGAAATTATTTTTTGGCTTAGTGTTATTAATGATTTAAACTTATGAGCAGCACCATGACATAGCATGATGCTTCATTGCATACTTACACTTTGTGAGGAGGATGAATATTTTCATCAAAAAATAGTTTATTTGAAAGGAAGATACATAAAATGAGAGGGAGAGAGAAAGAGATAGATGGAGAAGTCCAGGATGAATTCAGAAGACAGGAACTTCATAAGGGTCTCCCAAATGAATGGCAGGGTACCAAGTATTTGGGCCATCTTCCCTAATTCCCAGATGCATTAGGAGGGAGCTTGATCAGAAGTGGAGTAGCCAGATTGAAACTGGTGCTCATATACAATGGTGGCATCCCAGGTGGTGATACAACTTGCTCTATTTCACACTGAGTTTGAAGGTAGATTTTAGGTTAAATGCTGTACCACGCAAATAGATGTGTAGGTTTAAACACACATGTATACCCTCCTCTACCACTCTCCTGACACACACAAAATAATGAAAAAGGAATGAGAAAACTAGGGGAATTAATGATTGTTGATCGCTTCATTCAACGTTTCAATAAAGTAGGTTAAGAAGTAAGAAACATACTTAAAATACAACAAGGCTTGAAGATTAAGGAATAAAGACAATCATATGGATATATTTGTTTTTATTTTTTAACTCTATACTTGGTTTCTCTCAATTTTTTTGAGTAAAGGGAAAATAAATAATATATATAATTATAATAGATGTTGGTATACACATGAATACATCTCACTTGTGTGGCAGAAGATATTCCCCTGCAATTTTTAAATATATTTTGTTTAAAAGTAGGAATTGATGAAGGAAAAAAAAATGTGTGTATGTATAAATCTATATATGTGTGTGTGTGTATATATATATATATGTTACAAATAGTTTATGGGAAAGATTGGCAGTTCTTGTGATCTGTATTTAAAAACAGAAATGGATATTTACACAATGACTTGTGAACTCTTGGTCATATGAAAAGACTCATATAATTATTCCAAAGTCCTTCAATTATTACAGGTTTTGAAAATATACTTACAAAAATACTATTGATGTTGGAAGCTTTATTGCAAAGATGAGCATAGAATGACAGGAATCCATGAGTGTTATCCAGGAGCTCTTAGCTCAGGCAGATAAGCGTTGCAGTTTTCTCAAGGCAACATGAAATCCTTTGAAAAGATTTCAGTAAAAAAAAAAAGTCCATTCAACAGGAAGTTATAAATATACCAGTAGCATTTAGTGCACATAAAAATGTATGAGCTATTTCTCCCCTTCTCTAAAGTGATTAAGAAAAATCCCATATTCCTATTTGTGACAACATGACTATGAGCCTTCACTATTCCTCTTGATGATAGCAAGCAGCTACTGGGTGTTTGGCCATAAGAACCTGAGCACAGGTGAAGATACGGCAATTCTGAGCAGAGCCTCTTAGGGCTGTCCCTACATTTTGCAAGTTTCTTATGTTGCCGTGGAAGCAGTTGGCTGGATATGAAATGTTCTCCTTCAGTTAGGGTCCTGAAGTAAGAGGAAGTAACGGAGTCAGAAAAACAGAGCCAAGGGTATATTCCATTTGTTTTGCTTTTTTTGTACCAACATAAACTTGCCTTTAGTCCTATTGTTGTAATTTAATTTAATTCCATTTTCTGTGAACTTTTGAAGCATCCTAATATTCAGATATGTGTGTGTACGTGTGTGTGTGTGTGTGTGTGTGTGTGTGTGTGTGTGTGTGTGTGTGTGCCTGTGTGGCAAATAGTAGAAATAAAACAGAACTCCAAAAATGCAATATAGTGCCTATCTTTTCACTAAAATAATGAATCAACTGAGAAATGATAAACAACTTTGGATAAGTGAGGTACTATCAAGAGACCCTGTGGTTATTTTACTTAAGTCTATTTTTCTTAACTTGGAAGGGAAACAACTATTGTGACATTCTTTGATAAAAGAAAAATAAGCCTGGATCATAAAATGTAGCCTTAGCAACATTTTATCAGAGTCATTTAAAAGAACTCAGTTATCCTCTAATTAAATAAGAAGTGAAAAATCCTCATGAATTCATCATGAATATCTTGCAAATATTAATAAAGGAACATGTGATTAAAAAGACATAGGATAATTTACAAAAATTCGTTAAACCGGGTTGACCACATTACGTTTGACATGAAGCTCTTCCATTTGTAAACAAAAGCAACATGGACAATCTGATTCTCGGGAAAGAAAAGGCAAAGGTTTATAGACATCTCAGTTTGAGTTGGCTGCTAATATGTTTCATTGTTTTCCTAAACAATTACTAACCATATTCAGGAACATATTAGTGAATTTCTGTATTATAAAGTTCATCTTAGCACAGCTCGAACCTTTTAAAAAATGTTTGTTTATTTGAAAGAGCTGCAGAGATGGAGGGAAAGACACAGAGACAGCTCCCATCTTCTGGTTCAACTATATCCATGAGAGCCAAGGCTCACAAGGTCAAAGCCAATAGCCAGAGTTCCATCCCACTCTTTGGCATGTGTGTCAGTGTCCCAAGTGCTTGATTATCGTTCACTGCTTTTGAAGTTGAATTATCAGGGGTCTGGATCAGCAATGGAACAAACACAACTTGAACCAGCTCCTATGAGACGCTGGTGCTCAGGCAGCAGTTAAACCTGTTAGCCATATCTGTACCACCTCTAATCTTTGTACAAATGCCTTCCATATTCACTCATCCCAACGAATCTTCTTTATTTCCCACATCACACTGTTCCCATCTTTGTTCCAGTCATGTTCTCTGGAGAGTAGAGGTTTTCTCCATCTGGTTCCCTATGTGGTTAGTGCTATCTTCTCTGCACTGAGAAAGTACAACATTGCTGGAAGGAAGGAAGCACAAAGAGAAAGGAGGAAGGAGTAGAGAGCAAGATTTAACACAGAGAAGGGTTTTGAATCAGTGTTAGTAGTAGAGCTGAGAATGGTGAAGAAAATAATGAGAATCCATGAAAATTGTTTAATCAGCACTAAAAAGAAATATTTAGGAACTTGAAAAGGAGGCAGAGATAATCATAACTTTCATAATGACAAATGTCACATACCAAATTTAGCAAACGTGGTTTAACCAAGGTTTATTGGACACAGTGCAGCTGCCAGGTGTGTGCATTTCAGAGAGAAAAAAGTGTGTTAATTGACCTGAAGATGCCTTAGAAAAACAGTCTGTTCCAGGTTTTGGGAAAAAAATTAGGAAGATCAGAAACTAGTAACTGTATAAATTAAAACTGTTTTAAACTCAAATTAAAAAAAGAATGTGACATTTGTATAGATTACAGGGGAAAGAATAATCCTACATGTTTCTAAAGACTTTTTAATCATTTAGGTGAATTTCATGTTTTTCTACAAAAAAAACCATAAAATGCTTTACAAATTCATGTGTCATTGTTGTACAAAGGCCATGCTAATTGTCCCTGTATCATTTTGATTTTCTATATGCGCTGCCAATTCATTTTTTAAGTTTTTTATTTTATTTTTGTTGGAAAGGCAGATACACAGAGAAGAGAGACAGAGAGGAATATCATCTGTTAGTTGATTCACTCCCCAAGCAGCTGCAACAGCTGGAGCTGAGCCAATCTGAAGACAGGATCCCAGAGCCTCCTCCACGTCTCCCACGTGGGTGCAGGGTGCCAAGGTTTTGGGTCATTTTTGACTGCAGGCCACAAGCAGGGAGTTGGATGGGGAAGTAGGGCTGCCAGCATTAGCACTTGTGCCCATATGGGATCAGGTGGTGTGAGAGGTGAGGACTTTAGCCACTAGGATACCACGCCAGCCCCTCCCCAATTCATTTTTAAATAAAAATATTTTTTCTTTGAAAACCATAACAAAAAAGGGAGAGGGGGAGAGAAAGAGATCTTCCTAGCTGCTTTGCTGCTCGAATGACCACAATGGCATATCTGGCCAGGTTGAAGTGAGCACCCACAGGGAGGCAGGATATCAACTTCTTGGGCCATCTACTTCCTCCCTGGGCATATTCATGGGAAGCTGGAATGCAAGTGGATTACCCAGGCCTCAATTAGACATTAGTGACATGCTAATATTGCTAGCAGTGAATTGATCTGTGCCAAATCCAGGCCTCTAGTTAGTTCGGTTTAACATTGAAGATACACCATCTATTGTTCAGTTCCTTTTAGATTGCTATCACACTTGACATCTAAATGGCTAGCCCTTAGAATTCTGAATTACTCAAAGTGCTGAACTGATGGTTCACTATACATCTTACAGCAAAATTACTATGACCCAAACTGCATTAATACCTTTGGCCTAAGTATACTGCTAAAATTGAAACTAAAACTTTTGGTGTGGATATAATGGCAGTGCTAGTTATAACACTGGTTGGAAGACCCGCATCATATTTCAGGGCACAGGCTTGAGTCTCAGGTTTTCTGGTTCTAATTCAGCCTCCTGCAAATGCACCCATGAAGGAATGATTGATGACCCAAGTACATCGCTTTCCTATCAACACCTGGGGTACAGGTATGGAGTGCCTGGACCCTGGCTTAGAACTATACAAGCCCTGGCTGCTGTTGGCATTTGGGGTATGAATTAGCAGAGAGATTTCTCTGTCTCTATTTCTGTCTTACTACTCTCAAATAAGTAAAAACATTCTAAAATGATAAAACTTCAGTTACATTTAATATCACTTTGAAAATCAAGCATTTCATTTATATTCTTAACTAAATATCCCATGTTTATCCTTACCTCATAATTAAAAACAAGGTATTTAAAACATCCCTGGAAAATGAATTGACAATATGCTTATTATGATGCAATGTTTTTAAAATCTACAGTTTTTCCTAATACCCACTTTCCATGAAATTTATGAAATAAACATGCTCAATATGGAATGTTTGTGTTCAGTTCATGTTTGATTGTATTGAATGCATCGAACATGCAAAGTCAGTGTATCTAATGAATCATCGCTTCACCACTGTAAGAATTTAAGTATCCCACTATATTAATTTACTAATCAGGATGGAAAGCAGAATAGCTTCAAAGCTCGTTTATTATAGTTAAGGCCAGAGCTAAAAGAAACATAAAACATAAACCTGCAAAGAAAAAAATGTCACAGAATAAGCATAAACAAAATCTGTTTAGAAGAAGCAGTTCAATCCAACACATGGATGCTATATCAATTCCACTAATGGAAGGAAAGGAGGTTTGCTACCATTCAAAGTCAAATATGATGCTTGTGTCGAAGTGTTATAAAACACATTTCGCTTAAGAGCAAAGGGGGAAAATAATGAAAAGCATGATGGACCTTGAATAACAACTCAACAGTCATGCTGTATAATTGCTTTTCATCTTTTCTATCAGCAGTGAGGCTTTAAAACATTGATCAAAGATGATGACTATCACAAAGTGCTTAAAGTACAGCACATTGTTAAATTTCCTCAGCCTCTGAAATAATTATAGCATGAGCAAGCATAAAGATGATTCCCCCACCTCCACCTACCTCCCTCAAATGATTTTCCAGCCAAGGTAGATTGGATTAAAGAAAGCTGACATGAATGAGCTATATTAGAACATCAATGTCAAAAGATATATCGCAGACACTTGCCTAAAAATGATAAGAATACTGTGAACATTTGACATTAATGCACAAAAGAATCCAGTCGTTTTCCTAACTGACAAACACACTTTTTGAAATACAAGATGCAAAGCATACACAATAAATCAGGCAGCACAGCACAGAGAAATAGAAAGTGTTTGCTGATGATGTGAAGGAGATGGGTTTTAGCTACTAAAACTTCACAACTAAAGAAATAATTGAAGAAAAATACTTTTTAATGTATTTATGTCAATAATAGGTAAATGTGGTTTTTTATTTTGAAAAAATATTTATTTGAAATTTGGCGAAAATGCCTGGGAGTACTCCCACCCACTGGTTCATTTCTCCAATGCCCACAGCAGCTGGAAAAGGTCTGGCTGAAAATGAGAGCCTGAATCTCATTCTAAGTCTCTCAAGTGGATGTCAGGAACCCAAGAACTCAGGCCATTGCCTACGCCAGTCTATATGCTAAAGGAATTTGGATTCCGGTTTGGAGCAGTACACAAAAAACAGGCACTTCCCTATGAAATGAAGGCTTCCTATGTGGTGGCTTAGCCACTGGGCCAAATATCTATCATTGTAAATGAATTTTTAAAATATGGATTTTTCTTTCTGCTAGACATTTTAAGTATGTGGTTTTATCAGAATGTAACCAGATTGAATGTTCATCACCTGATGTTTAGTCATGGCTTCTTGAAATCAGTATGCTGTCAAGTGCTGTGTACGGACACAGGTGCTATGCTGTTGCAGTAGTTGAGTTTTAGACTCCTGAAACCATACTTTTGACCCATCTCAAAAAGGGGTGAATAATCACCTGGTCCAAGTGTTCAATTTGATGTTTCAGGTATGGATATTTCAGGTATGTTTCAGGTACTGAGCAATTACAGAGATGTGGGGGTGAAGGGGAATTTAATGCTCTAATACTTAGTTTCAATAAATGCTGTAATCTGGCTAGATGTTTCATTTCTTTGTATTCTTCAGCAGATTTTGAGGTGTGTTCTATAGTATGTCAATTGCTTTTCTTTTCTTTTTTTTTTTTTTTTAAAAGGAAATCCTTTTTTTTTTAAGATTTATTTTTATTATTTTTTCATTGGAAAGGCGGATATACAGAGAGGAGAGACAGAGAGGAAGATCTTCCATCCGATGATTCACTCCCCAAGTGAGCACAACGGGCCGATACTATGCCGATCCGAAGCCAGGAGCCTCTTCCGGGTCTCCCACAGGGTGCAGGGTCCCAAAGCCTTGGGCCGTCCTCCACTGCTTTCCCAGGCCACAGGCAGGGAGCTGGAAGGGAAGCGGGGCTGCCGGGATTAGAACCGGCGCCCATATGGGATCCCGGGCGTGCTAGGTGAGGACCTTAACCACTTGCGCCACCGCGCCGGGCCCTGTCAATTGCTTTTCTTCAAGTGAGTATCAAGTATACACTATCTGTCAGTAATCAAGTCATCATTGCTCAATCATTGTTTTCACTCTTTACCCTAACTCGTCTTCCTACTTTCTCCATTTTGTCATCAAACACCTTCAAAAATAATAATAGAAAAGGACCCACTCAATGATTCTAAGTGCTATTTTCATGATTAGTTTTTGGGGAAGAAGCTAAACCTTGGGATGTAGCTGCTGAGAGTGTTGATAGAAAGCAGTCTCTCAAAATTAGATTCTGATATTGGCTCCTTCGTAGTTCCAAGAATACCAGGCCTGGTGATAAATGAGATGCTGATTTTGCCTCGTGCCTTACTTCAGTTGGAGGTGGAATGTGATAAACAGGCTTGCACAATAGCACTAGCATTTGGAAGCCATGGAGCAAGGTATTTCTATGGCTTGCAAAGAGGTCTCAGCTTCTTTAGTAGTTCCAGCTTTGGTTCAGCCAGCTGTGACATCATGACCAGGTTATGCACAAAAATCAGCAGACTTTCCTTACGGTGTCTAGTACTTGTAACTGGAGAACAGCTAGAACTAAAACAGTCAGTTTAAGTTTGAGCATAGAGTTGAACAAATGACACATACATGGAGTGTTCTGTTTTTAGAAATTTCCTGGCATGAGAGACACAGTGTTGAATTAGGAGGACCTGAGAACTTTCATGAGTCACTGGACCTGGAAATTTGAGATCATTAGGTAGTTTTGAACTGTCTGGACAGGGAGAAGCAGTAACATCATCACTGCTGGACACCAAACGTCACTTGTCTGTGGGTAATGTACAAAAATGATGTGAGGCTAGCACTTTATATTTATCACCCTTATAATGACTCATGCATTTAAATCAAATCTATAAATGTCTATTTGTATAAGCCTGTATGCAAAAATAATCTGTTATAAATTTCATAAACCAAGTTACAAAACAAGCATAATGGATTCATATTTACTAGAAGATGTAGAAAAAATATGTGTGGATATTAAGAATGTTTCAAGCATATAATGCAAGGGTAGAAAATAAATATTTATTTTTTCAGAGAGACTTCTCAGTGAAATAAAGCATAATATTTTGTATACATAACCCCCTAGTGCAAGTCTTAATGTTTGGAAGGCTTCTTGAAACTCAGAGGCAATACTCAACCATAGCAAGTGATATGAAGGTTTCATATTTCTGAGTAGTAAGGCAGAGTTCATACTAGGGAGGCTGAGAAAGTATCCTTAGTATATTAGACCCTAGTTTATTTTTCAAGCTGGACTAAGCCAGTTTTTATGTCAAGAGGACAGTACAGTAGTATGCCATGCCTTATCATGAAAGTGCAAGGGGAAATGAAAAGTTATACGGGATTTGTGTTATCTTTTAATTTCATATCTCATATCCTTTTTTAAAATCCCGTGTATTTGATGAAGGTTGATGGTAGCTGTTCTATGCAGGCTGAGACTGAAAACAGGTGGTGCTTCCACGAGTTTTGGCTCGACAGTATCCTGGTGTA